CGAGGACGATGGGGGTACGGCAATGGGGGTACGGTGACAAGGACAATGGGGGCACGACAGAGGACGGCGGGGGCACGATGAGGATGACGGCAATGAGGATGACGGGGGCAGGACAATGAGGATGGGGGGACGACAACGAGGACAACGGCAGGGCACCCTTCACCCCCGCCTTCACCCCTCGTTCACTCCCCGTCCTCTCCCTCGCCCTGTCGCCCTCTGCCCCGCCTTCTCGCCCCCCTCGCCCACCATCTTGCCCTCTTCCCTTGCCTTCTTGCCCTTGCCCTTGCCCTTGCCCTCTGCCTTGCCCCCATCCTCTGCCTCGCTTGCCTTCGCCCTCTCGTGCACCCTCACCCTCTGCCTCACCCTCGCCATCTGCCTAGCCCCCGTCCTCTCGCCATCTACCCCTCCGTCTCACCTTCGTCGTCACCCTCTTGCCCTCTCACCCCTCACCCGTTTGCCCCTCACCCTTCTACCTCCCTCACCCTCTCACCGTCGCTGTCTCGCCCCTCACCCTTTTGCCCTTTTGCCTTTGCCTTTGCCATCGCCCTTTCACCCGTTTGCCGTCGCCGTCACCTCTCGCCCTCTGCCCACCCTCACCCTCTGCCCTCGCTCTTGCCATCTCCCCTCGCTCTTGCCGTCTCCCCTCGCTCTCCCTCGCCCACCTCGCCATCTCACCGTCTCCCTCGCCGTCTCCCTCTCACCCTCGCCCCCATCCTCTGCCCCACCGTCTCGCCAACCTCGCCAACCTCTCCCTCTTGCCGACCTCTCCATCCCGCTGACCTCTCCCACTCGCCCACATCGCCGTCTCACCCGCCTCGCCCTCTGCCCCGCCGTCTCACCCACCGTCTCACCACGACGACAACAATGGGCACGGAACAACAACAACAACGGCGGGGGGCACAGAACAACAACGACAAGCAGCACAATGACGAGGAGAGGGCAGCACGACGAGGATGGGGAGGGCAGCACGACGAGGACGGGGAGGGCAGCATGACAACGATGGCAGGGGAACGATGACGACGACGGCGGGGGCCCTCTGCCTCGCCCTGTCACCCTTTGCCCCGCCTTCTAGCCCCTCGTCCACCCCTCAGCCGCCCCTCGCTCGCCCTCGCCCTCGCCCTCTGCCCTGCCCCTCGCCCTCTGCCCCCTCCATCCCCCTCTGCCCCCTCCATCCCCCTCTCGCCTGCTGTCGCCCTCTCCCTCGCCTCTCGCCGTCACCTCACCCCCTTGCTGTCCGTGTATTGACGCAAACATCACCGAGGAGAACGAAAGGTGGTACAAGCAGGCAGGGGGGACAGCGAGCGGCTGAGGGGTTCAACAAGCTGCAGATGAGGCCTGGTGAGCCGCGGAGGGGAAAACGAGTGACGAAGGGGCTAATGAGGAGGCGAGCGGGCGCAACAAGCAGAGGAGGGGGCCAAACGAGGAGATGAGGGACCCAACAAGCAGTGGGGGCTGCCTGCAAGCAGATGAGGGGACGAACGATGAACCGAGCAGCCCCAACGAGCGGCGAAGAACCCCAGCGACGACTCGACGGACGCCCATGAGCAGAGGGGACCAACGACCCCATCCGACGGCCCCACACGAGCAGCAAAGGGACCAACAACGAGCCAAGGCCCCCCAACGGGCAGCAGAGGGGGTGCATGAGCAGCAGGAGGGCAGAACGAGCAGGTCCCCCCGAGCAGAAACGGTGCGTTCATGGCACGCCGTTTCTACTCATTTTCTCTTTATTTCAGAGCAGGTGGCTAGTAGAGCCACCTGCACCATGTACATAATATATTATTTCAATTTAAGATGATTTTTTGTAATTTTTTCGTGTACTGAGATCCCCCTGAGCTCACCGGATGTCGTAACAGACGACGGCTAGAGCAATATAATAGATGTGTCATGGTAATTACAGCAAAATCTAAAAATAGCTATGAGACCTGAAAAAGGGCTGCATCATCCAAACCACCCCCTCCCAATCCAGCTATCCCACCCCCCAGATGAGAAATGGTACAAGTACATTGGCCTTGGTGTTCCCCATCAAAAACGGGGGTGGGAGCACCCCAAACGACGAGGAACAGTGTCCGAGCACTGTTTCCTGTGTTGTTTGCATGTATTGACATGCCCTGCCCACAGCCGCAAGCCCCGGCACACCTGGCAAGGCCCTGTCCGTAGGTGGACTGTAAAACCACAGTCCTGACATATAAGCATACATTGTAAAAATACAGTATCTGATGTATTCTTGTAGCTTATAGAAGTGGGAAAGACCAAGATCAACGATGTTCAACATCGTTGATCACGGTTCAGCGAGTTCCGGCTGCGCCTCCTATTGGCTGGCACATACGGCCCATTCCCTCATCCGTTGTCAACCAACGGAATGTCTCCAATGTGTGCAGAATGCGATTTATATCCATTCAAACCATCAGAAATCATTTTCAGTATATAAAATCACTTTTACATGAAATATAATCAAGCTGAAATATTTTATGAGCGAAACAATCTTGGGCTCAGGCCAATGATGGGACTCTGACCTCCGTCTGTAGAATCAAATAAATATGTAAAAATGGTAGACAGACTGGCTAATTATAATAGTATTCAGGAATAGATCTCCCCTGATGAAATTATTAATTTTAGGATGTACACTAAGAATCTATGAAAGACAATGTAGATTCTGATATGAAACCAACTCAAGGATGTGTCAAATTTCAGACACTGGCTTGTATTGTAAGATCCACATTGGAAATTCAGCCTAAATTTTTGGTATGTTGTACTTACTCCCTCAAGGATCTAAAATACAAAGTTTTTTTGATCGTTCAGCTCATCGAACGCATGGTATTCAACAGGTTGGAACAGCGGAAGAACGTCAATCACCACACAAAATCAGTAACCTGGGCTCTCAGTTTGTTCCCATTCCTAAACATTGTTCGGACCTAAATAAATACATAGACTACAGTAGTCTAATTAATTACCAACACTGAATAAAAAGTTCTCCATGGTATCTTGAGTGTATGGGCTATTCTGCGGTCGATGAGTGGAACGTGGGCTGGTCGGACCGCCTGCGCCAGCCAATCAAGTTGTTCACGGCATTCACCAGATAAGCGATCCACAACAACAAATGTTGTTGATCTCAGCTTCAATGACCACCTGGCGCTCCCCCTCTCAGTCCAACACCTCAGATGACCCCCCAGGACCAAGAAAAAGGTGAGCAGTATGTTTACCTTTACAATTATATACTCTAACATACATTTTTATTCAAATTAGGTTAATGAACGTCGACTTAAAGTCAACGTTCGTTTTCTTTGCCTCTCCCACCCCTCCCCTGCTGTAGGGATGTGGGCTGGCCAGGACTCCCCCTCCTGGCA